AGAGAATTTCTTTCCAGAAAGAACAGTGGGAGTAAAATAAATCTCGAAGAAGTTCGAGGAACACAGGAGATTGCTTCGTCTTCTCAGGAAGATGATCAATTAGATTTACGAAGAGTCGTAGAATCTACACCTGTGGAACCTGAGGTGCGTAGGTCCGAAAGGACACGTCACGAACCTAATAGATATGGGGTTTGGGTGATGGATCATCATGATCTATTGATAATAGAGAGCGATGAACCTACGTCCTTTGAGGAAGCTATGATGGGCCCTGACTCCGATAAATGGCTGGCAGCTGCAGAATCCGAAATGGACTCCATGTCAATAAACAAAGTATGGACTTTGGTTGATTTACCTAATGGCGTTAAAGTCATTGAGTGTAAATGGGTTTTCAAGAAGAAAACTGACATGGATGGTAATGTACAAATATACAAAGCTAGATTGGTGGCTAAAGGTTACAAAAAAATTCATGGTATTGACTATGATGAAACCTATTCGCCAGTCACAATGCTTAAGTCTATTCGGATTCTCCTAGCAATTGCTGCTCATTATGACTAAGAGATTTGGCAAATGGATGTGAAAACAGATTTCCTTAATGGAAATCTCGAAGAGGATGTGTACATGACACAACCTGAAGGTTTCACAGTCCCTGGAAGTGCTGGGAAAGTATGCAAGCTTCAACGTTCCATTTATGGTTTGAAGCAAGCATCTCGGAGTTGGAATCTTCGTTTTAATGAGGTAATCAAAGAGTTTGATTTCATTAGAAATGAAGAAGAACCTTGCGTCTACAAGAAGAATAGTGGGTGCGCAGTTGTTTTCTTAGTATTGTATGTGGATGACATACTTCTCATTGGGAATGACGTTCCTATGCTTACTTCTGTAAAGACTTGGCTTGGAGATCATTTCTCAATGAAAGACATGGGAGAAGCTGCATATATTCTTGGAATAAAAATCTATAGAGATAGATTAAATAAGACTATTGGATTATGTCAAGATACTTATATCGATAAGGTCTTGCATAGATTCAAGATGCATGATTCCAAGAAAGGCTTCTTGCCGATGTCTCATGGCATAACTCTTAGCAAGATGCAGTGTCCTTCAACACATGATGAGCGAGAGCGGATGAGTAGAATCCCATATGCTTCGGCTATAGGAACTATCATGTATGCCATGATCTGTACTCGTCCAGATGTTGCATGTGCCTTGAGCATGACGAGTCGATACCAATCTGATCCAGGTGAAAGTCACTGGACAGCAGTTAAGACTATTTTTAAGTATTTGAGAAATACTAAGGATAAGTTCTTAGTATATGGAGGATGTGATGAGCTTGTTGTGAGTGGTTACACTGATGCCAGTTTTCAGACGGACAAAGATGATTTCCGATCACAATCAGGTTTCATCTTTTGTCTTAATGGAGGAGCGGTGTGTTGGAAGAGTTCCAAGCAAGACACCGTAGCAGACTCCACTACCGAAGCTGAATACATCGCTGCTTCTGAAGCAGCAAAGGAAGCTGTTTGGATTCGGAAGTTCATTGCTGAATTGGGTGTGGTTCCTANCACATTCTAAGGAGATATCATCTCATTCGTGATATCGTCGATAGAGGAGATGTGAAGATTAGCAGAGTTTCAACGGATGCAAATGTTGCTGATCCGTTGACGAAACCCCTTCCACGGCCTAAGCATGAGAGTCATACTACTGCTATAGGCATTAAGTTTCTTAAGATGTGATCTTGATTCTAGTGGGAGATTTTTCTTTATGATATGATGTTCATGTTTACATACATTTTGGTTATGTTTCAAAATTAATGAAATTGTTTCAGATTTATTTTATTATTGGATAACTAAAATAAATGTCCCAAAATAATTTATATCATTTTTATAGGTCATCAAGTGCGTGACTTGATCATGAAACCCTATAAGTGTAAGATGCTATAAGTTATTGAGGTCCCTAGTCAAGGTTGTTAACGTGGGACATTAATAACCATGAATGACTAGTATGTGAGGTGATTGATGACTAAGTTTCATGGAGTCATTCAATATGTGGTATTGAAGTCAATCACATGGATATGTGTTAGAGAACACATGATCGGACTGGCCCGCTATGAGAACTCTACAAGATTGTTATATGAGTGTCATAAGAGTTTCTCATTACGACTATAAGAGTATAGTCCTTAGACCTGAGTTCATCATGATTCCTTATTTATGGATTAGTTCACTTTGACCTTGTCAAACGTCAGCCGTAACTGGTGATTATAAAGGCATTGATTAGGTGTGCTATGAAATTTGTAAAGAACAGGGATGTAACAAGATGGGATTTGTCCCTCCCATATAACGGGAGATAAATATCTCAAGGCCTATCGAAGATTTGATACTGAGAAACGCATGGCCATGCTCAAACGAGGTGAATGTCAGTCGTTTGTCTTATCAGTACAAATCAGAGTTCGATAAACATGATCTAGCTTAATAAGGATGACACTAGTTCTTGCCTTATGCTGAGATCGAGATATAGAGACAAAGGGATTATGAGAATAGATGATTCTAGTACAAGTGGTAGATTGTTGGGAATGTCCTAAAATCATTTGTACTTACTCTTGATAAAGTCGTAACGTCGAGGTTCGGCAATCGTATAATATTAGGTGGTTATAATGTTTTGCTAGAAACCACTTATAATCTATGAATTGAGAATTCATTACTAATATTATATGATCTTACAGGGTCACACACCTAAGCAAATTGGATTAATAATATATATATATTGGTTTGTGAAAAGTATACATTATATTATATGTGATATAAATATGAATGTATATGTATGGACCATACGTGATAGTAATAGTAATCTCTTTGGAAGAGATTATGTATCCATAGTCCATGTATTAGTCCTAGTCTTCATTATATAACGTGATATAATGACGTGAGCTGGTTTAGGGTTACCGCAGTCACAAACCTAATAATAAAAGACGAACTGTTCGTTGTGGAGTTTTTTGAGATTTGATCTCGACGGCACTAGCATCCCGTATCGATCCAATTTGTGTGCGTGTGGATACCGGTAGAGGCACGACGTTTGGTGTGCTTGAATCTCGATTTGGTTTATTTATCTTTCCGCTGCGAATAACCAGGTATATTCATAATCCTAAAGATCTAGATTATTTCAGTATTGACATGAGATTCTAGGCAAACTGAATTCATAAATAGATTTATAAATAGTTATAAACCGGTATGAATTCCTACACTTCTGTCATTGCTCGATATTCTGCCTTGGTAGAGGATAAGGATACCGTGTCTTACTTCTGAGATTTCCATGAAACAATAGAGGTACCTATTTGAACAATCCATCCTGTAACAGAGCGGCGAGTTGAGCGACAGCCTGACCAGTCAGAATCAGACCATCCTGTGACATGGAGAGGTGAGGCCGCTCGAGGCATAATCCCTTGTCCAATAGTTCCCTTTAAATATCGAATCACATGTATGACAGCTTCCCAATGTTCTATCCGTGGTTTCTGCATGAATTGCGTGAGGACAGGAATGGAATATGCCAGATCGGGACGTGTGGAAGAAAGATACACTAAACGTCCTACTAGGCGGCGATATTGTTCTGGTTCGGTTAGGAGATCCCTATCTGCGTCAGAGAGTTGATGCTTTTGGTCGAGAGGAAATCCAGCCAGCTTACATCCAAGCATTCCTACTTCTGTTAGAATCTCAAGGCAATACTTTCGTTGATAAAAAAAAATACCATCTATTGATATACCCTAATATACTTCTGTTAGCAAAAGAATTGTGGATACTTCTACTGAAGGTCAAACAGATACTCCAACTGATTTGCCCATTGACCAAGTACCATAGTAGCAGCTTGAACGCGCCTTTGTACCACTTTCCTCTCCATAATGTACAATTGACTCACCATGAAGATAATATATAAATGGATCAGTGAGTATTGACCATATACTACCTCATAATGTGTTGTGTTAGTCGAAGAGTGATTGTTGGTCTTGTACCAATACTCTTGGTAACGGCAACCATTTGCTCTACAAGTATGGTTTATCACTGGTCATGCATCTGGGATACGTTTCCAGACATCTAGTCACCCACCTCCGTCTATCCATCGGATGATATGCAGTTGACATATTCAGAGAACATCCTTGAAGCTTGAACAGTTCTTGTCAGAAATTACTGAGAAATATAGAGTCTCTGCCAATAACAATCGTTTGTGGATACCCATGTAACTTGAAGACATTATCCAAGAAGTTTTGAGCCAAAGATGCTGCAGTGTAGGGATGATATAAAACCATAAAGTGCACAGCCTTACTTAGCATGTCAACCACTACTATGATCACCGATTTCCCAAAAGAAACTAATAAACCGTCTATGAAGTCCATTGAGATGTCTATCCATATGACTTCAGGTAAACCATCTAGATTATAGAACATAGATGATGAAGTATTTAGTGGGTTCCCTTCGTTCGAATCTCAACCATCAGAACCAAACTCTCAATCCAAGATTTTAAATAAAGGCAGAAAGATCATAATGAGCTTTGATTCTTGTTGAGAATAAAAAAAAAGAAGAGAAAACAATGGCGTTTACAGGGACATTAGACAAATGCAAGGCGTGTGACAAGACTGTATACGTTATGGATTTGATGACATTGGAAGGAATGCCTTACCACAAGTCATGCTTCAGGTGCAGCCATTGCAATGGCACTCTTGTGGTATCTTCTACGTTCTTCTTCTTCCACCATTGTTCCTCTTTTTGGTGTTAAAAAAAAAAAAAAAAAAAGAATCATTATAATATTTTGCAGACTAGCAACTACTCATCCATGGATGGAGTTCTGTATTGCAAACCCCATTTTGAACAACTCTTCAAAGAATTTGGAAACTTCAGCAAGAATTTTCAGACAGGTTATAAAAAATCCTCTGTTTTTATCTTGTTGCTCTGTTTTTAAAACGTCTAACAATCTTGGCTATTTATTCTTAATTATTTGCAGCAGGAAAGACCGAGATAAAAAATGAGATGGTATGCACATAATGAGTCAAACATTCCTCCTTTTTTATTTGTGTTTCCCTCTCTTTTTTTATTTTAAAAAGGTCTGATTTTGTGTGTGCATCCAGACGAGGGCTCCAAGCAAGTTGTCCTCCTTCTTTAGCGGAACACAAGACAAATGTGCAGCTTGTAAGAAAACAGTTTTTCCACTAGAGAAGATAACAATGGAAGGAGAATCTTACCACAAGACTTGCTTTAGATGCGCACACGGTGTTGACATGAAGCAGAATTATGTTAGAGACTTATAAGGGTTTTATAACTTATAAAGCTTTATAAAGTTTTTATAAGGATTATTTGTTTTGGGGACTTTGCCACCTATGGTGGGTTACTACCGGTCTCAGTGCCTAAGGAGAGACAGGTACATTCAAGGACTTTTTCACTTACGGTGGGTTGCTACCGGTTTCAGTGCCTAAAGAGAGACATATACCTTCAAGGACTTTGTCACCTACGGTGCGTCGCTACCGGTCTCAGTGGACAGTCCCCAAAACGTTCAGATCTTCTTTATTTTGAATTTGTAGATCTGGAAATACCTATATAGTTGTTATGTTGAACTCTTATTAAATCTAAGGAAATAAGAATCTTCCTTCTATTCTCTTTGTCTCTCAAACTCTCTCTCTCTCTTGATTCTTAAGCAAACTACCCTAAATCTCTATCTTAAATCTCTTAAACTCTCATGGTATCAAAGCAATCTTGCTCTTGAGACCTAAATCTTCTCATTTCTTTTATTTACTTCCAAAAATTTCTCTGAGTTTATTTCTACTTTTGGCAAAGTTCATCTTGTTCTTGAGCTGTTCTTCATTTCTTTTTCTAGAATTTTCCAAAAAATGGAAAAATCTTCTAAAGTCTCTATTCCGGTGAATCTAACTGGTGTCAACTACTTGTTGTGGTCAAGACTGGCCAAGACAGCCCTTGGAGGTTGGGATTTATGGGACCATGTGTCCAGTGGAGAAGCTCCAACTAAAGCCGTCCAAGATCAAAGTGGTGTGGAGATGGTGGTGGCTGCGGATGATAAATGGGACCAGGAGAATCTCATGGTGCTATCAATCATCCAAAACAGCTTGGAACCATCTATCTTGGAAGCTTACTCCTACTGTGAGAGCTCCAAAGAGTTGTGGGATACACTACAAAAAGTGTATGGCAACATTTCCAACTTAAGCTGAGTGTTTGAAGTCAAGAAAGCTATCAACACTCTTCATAAAAAAAACATGGACTTTAACCAACATTTTGGGAAGTTCAGAGCTCTGTGGGCCGAGTTAGAGATGCTAAGGCCAAGTACCTTGGATCCTAATGTGCTCAATGACCGGAGAGAACAAGACAAGGTCTTTGCTCTCCTTCTCACTCTACACCCGGGGTACAATGATCTTATCAAGCACATGCTCCGGGATGAGAAACTACCAACTCTTGAGGAGGTGTGTGCTCAGATCCAGAAAGAACAAGGCTCAGTGGGGCTATTTGGAGGCAAAAGCGAGTTGGTTCTAGCAAACCAAGTGGAAGGAACTGCCAACAAAATCCATTTCAAGCCGGAGGATAAGAAAGTGTGGATTTGTGACCATTGCAAGAAGAAAGGTCATGGGAAGGACAAGTGCTGGCTTCTCCACCCACATCTCAAGCCTATGAAGTTCAGAAACCAACCTAATGATGCAAGAGCTAACTTCTCTGGTGATGTGGGCGAGCCATCTACTCCAACAACCAACCGATCTTACAATGGACCCGGGAATGGTGAGATCAAGACCTTGGCATCCAGCAGCTACTCACAGTGAGGACCAATCAAGATGAGGCTATCAAGCGTTCAGACATTGAGGCTCTCATCAAGATCCTCAAGGATAACTCTGGTAACACTCTTGGTCTCTCATTACATGCTTCGGCCAATGGCATTGCTTTAGAAAGTTCAAAATTGATAAAACCATTGGTCATTGATTCCAGAGCTAGTCACCACATGATTAGTGATCTTTGATTAAAAATGTCACTCCGGCCTTAGGAAATGTTATGGTAGCTGATGGTAACAAGGTTCCAATTAAAGGCATAGGTGATCTTAAGTTATTTGAAAAAGAATCTAAAGCTTTTTACATGCCTAGCTTTACCTCTAATTTGCTATCGGTTAAGAGAGCCACAAATGACTTGAATTGCAATGTTATATTCACACCTAATGATGTCTACTTTCAGGATATTGACTCTTGTAGGTTACTTGGAAAAGATGTTGGCAAGGGAAACTTATACTTGCTAGAGGACACTAAGCTTGCATCCGATCTATCTATTGCTTTCAATTCAAGTTTTAACTTCCCTAAAGATGTAATGTGGCATGCTAGATTAGGACATTCTCATTCTCGTGCTTTGAACATCATGTTGCCTAGTATTTCTTTTCAAAAAGATTGTGAAGCTTGTATCTTAGGAAAGCATTGTAAAAGTGTATTTCCTAAATCTAGTACAATCTATGAGAACGCTTTGATTTAATACAATCGCATGTATGGACTGCTCCATGCCTATCTAGGGAACATCATAAGTATTTTGTGACCTTTATAGATGAGAAATCTAAGTATACATGGATCACATTGCTGCAATCAAAAGATAGGGTTTTAGATGCATTCATAAACTTTCAAACTTATGTCTCTAACCATTACAATGCAAAGATTAAGATTTTGAGATCAGATAATGGAGGAGAGTATACAAGCAATGCATACAAAACCCATCTAGCCAAACATGGTGTGATCCATCAAACAAGCTGTCCATACACTCCACAACAAAATGGTGTGGCCGAGAGAAAGAATAGGCATCTCATGGAGGTTACTAGAAGCATGATGTTCCACACTAGTGTGCCAAAGAGATTTTGGAGGGATGCAGTCCTGACAGCATGTTACTTGATCAACCGAATTCCCACAAGAGTCCTTCAAGATCACTCACCATTTGAGGTACTGAACAAAACCAAACCATCTGTTGATCATATGCGTTTGTTTGGTTGCTTGTGTTTTGTCTTGATACCAGGTGAAATGAGTAATAAGCTAGAGGCTAAGAGCACTAGAGCAATGTTCATTAGATATTCTCCAAACTAGAAGGGCTATAAGTGCTATGTTCCAGAGACCAGGAGGGTCCTTGTATCCAGGGATGTTAAGTTCTTAGAATCCAAAGGCTACTATGATGAGAAGAGTTGGGGAGAACTCAAGGATCTTTCTCAATCTGCCTCGGACAGAGCTAACAACCTGAGAGTTCTAATGGAAAGGCTTGGCATCAGTTTACCACAACAGCCTTAACGGGTCAGGGAGGTCCCAACTCAAGCTGTATAAGAACCTGTAGAAGAGGTTGGAGTCACTCATCATGATCATGAGGGGGGCAAGGATGATCAACCTGAAGACTCAGTGGCTCATGATCAAGATGAGTTCATCTCAGACCCGGCAAATGAGACTCAAGAGGAGAATGGTTCAGATCAGGTTCATGAAAAAGCTCATGATGAGACAGAATCAGGCCAATCACAACCATTGAGAAGAAGTACCAGAGTGAAGAAACCATCCAAGTGGGTTTCCACCAAAGTGTATTTCAACAGCAATGCACTGGATCATCCAATAAGTGCAGTATGCTCTCTTGCTCAGTATCTAGAGCATCATCAAGTCTTCGTCAGTGAATTGGATCAGGAATGGATACCGAGATCGTAGGAAGAAGCTATGCAACATGACAAATGGAGAGAATCTGTTGGAGATGGGGTTGGTGCCATGATCAAGAATGATACATGGTTTGAAACTGAGCTTCCCAAAGGCAAGAAAGCTGTGACAAGTCGTCTGCTATATATCATCAAGTATGGAGTCAATGGAAAGCAGGAAGAAGACAAGACTGGTGGCAAGAGGTTACACTCAAGTCTATGGAGTCCAGACAACTTTGCACCAGAGGCTAAGCTACACACCATCATGATTCTATTGTGTTTAGCAGTCAACCTTGAGTGGGATCTATGTCAAATGGATGTGAAGAATGCCTTCTTTCAAGGTGAGCTAGAAGATGAAGTATACATGAGGCCACCCCCTGGTATGGAAGACATGGTCAAACCAGGGAATGTACTCAGGCTTAAGAAGGCAATCTATGGCTTAAAACAATCACCAAGAGCCTGGTACCACAAGCTAAGCACAACACTCAATGGGAGAGGTTTTGTGAAGTCTCAAGCTGATCATACACTTTTCACTCTCACCAGCAAGCAAGGAATTGTTGTGATCCTAGTGCATTTGACATCAAGGATCTAGGAGAGTTAAAATACTTTCTTGGGATTGAGATGTGTAGATCAAAGGAGGGATTGTTCTTATCTCAAAGGAAGTATACTCTGGACATTCTAAAGGAGGCAGGAGACCTTGGTGGAAAGAAAGCCAAAACTCCATTGGAAGAAGGCTATAAAGTATTGCGTGAGGGGGAGTATGAGGATACTTCATTCAAGGATGTCAAGAAGTATAGGAGAATGGTTGAGAAGCTGATATACTTGACCATCACTCGACCAGATGTGTGTTTTGCTGTTAATCAAGTGAGTCAACACATGCAAACACCTAAGGTCTATCACTGGAACATGGTAGAAAGGATCCTAAGGTACCTAAGAGAGGCTACTGGACAAGGTGTGTGTATGGCGTGTAATAAGAGTACTGAAGTGGTTGGGTATTGTGATGCTGATTGGGCTAGAGACAGAGTTGATAGGAAATCAACAACCAGCTATTGCACCTTCATTGGAGGGAATCTGGTCACATGGAAGAGAAAGAAACAGAAAGTGGTGTCTTGCTCAAGTGCTGAGGCATAGTACCGATCTATGAGAAAGCTAACTAGTGAACTCATATGGATCAAGGGACTGCTAAGGGACTTGGGTATAGAGATCACTACACCTATGACAATGCATCGTGACAATCAGGCAGCAATACACATTGCATCTAACTCAATATTCCATGAGATGACAAAGCATATAGAAGTAGATTGTCATAAGGTAAGACAAGCAGTGGAACAACAAGTGATACTTCAATGCTACACCAGAAGTGAAGATCAATTGGCTGAAATATTTACTAAGGCCACAAGCAGCAAAGTCTGTGAGTTCATTCATCCAAAGCTTGGACTCATAGACCTCACATGTCAATGATCTTCCCTTCATGAAGTGTTCTACTCTTTTTCCTTGGCTTGGGTTTTATCTCATGAGGTTTTACCTTGCTGAGGTATTAATGATGGAATGCTTCATGACTTCCAAACTTGACTTGTTCCACATGGTCAAGCTTTAGGGGGAGTGTTGACATGAAGCAGA